GAAGCCAAGAATTTTCACTATCTGAACCTGCTGGATGTTGGCTTGAACAAGCTTCCACTGCCATCAACCGACGACTATGACTGAAACCGAATGTATGACGTGGTTGTCAAATGTCAACTTTCAAGATGTACAGGATATTGTTAAACTGGATATACGTAATTTATGCCTTGTTAATGATGAGCAAAGCCCCAGGTGCAACGAAAAATCCAACACTTTAATCCTCCCTCTTTCATTGGAAGACAACTCCACACTAACAGGTGGTGCAGCTTGCTTGGCTGAATTTGGAAAATAATTTAGAATTCCTTGTAACCACAGTGACATTACCTTGCCTTTTGATGACAAGATAGAAAACTTTTCAATAGAGTCAGCACGAAAGCATCATGACTTTCTGCTTAGGGTGCAAGAACACAAGAAAGAAATGGAAGTACTAGTGGAGAAGCTAATTTTATGTGAAAAAAGCCTGGATACCGATGATGTTGGGATCGAGGAGGATGAAGAGAAAGATGCCGAAAATGAAGCTGGAGAGAATCAACAATTCCAAAAAGTAGATGAAAAGTTTCAAAAGGTTGTAGATAAGTTGAGTGCCAAGATATGGAGTGAACATCAGTCAAGTGATCCAGATGATTTGAGCAGACTTGTCCAGTATATGCAACTAAATAGAGATTCATGGGAAAAAGCAGCTAAGCACCATGGGAGTACCATTTTGCACCACACCATAGAAGAAGATAACTTAACACTTATAAAAACTTTACTAAATGTGGGAGTAAATCCCAATGTGAAGGAAAAATGAGGGGCAACTCCATTGACTTTGGCCATTATGAAGAAAAATGAAGAGATTGTAAAATTACTGTTGGAGAGTTCCGCTGAGTATGATGACAAATTCTACACCTCTGTTCCTGGACCCAGAACGATGGCACGAAAGTTAAATATTCCATCTATAAAACAGTTCTTTGATGACCTGTCAACGGATGAGCCCCACTGCGACAAAGCCATATGGGACATCTTTGAAGTAGCCACAGTGGGACATAAACACGGTATTGATACACCTATAATTTTCAATAATGATACAGAAGAAGAAAGCTCTCAAGTACATACATTTAGTTATGACAGATCTAGACCAGGAAACAAGACATTAGTTGTCAGAGATCAAGGAACAAATAAGATAAATTGTAGTGTTAGAGCGAAGTCTGCCGGTGTTTATGACTGGGTTGGTGAAGTTCCTGGAGATATGCACGCCAAAGGTAAGGACTGTACCACGAATCTAGAGTAGAAAAGTACAATTTGCGGGAGTGTTTATCTCCCCATCCATCCTCCGATTTTCAGGGCCCGGTTGTACTAAAGCCGGATACCTGACCTAATGTTTTAAATGGCATGATGGCGTGGTTGGGTGTTCAAACCTAGTTGCAATAATACAACTCAGTCGAAGAGCAAACAAATATAACCACGCCATTGTACGATGAAAACTCTAAGTATTCCCAGTCAATTTTAGCAAATATTTCAAGCACTAAACAGTGAAAAATACATTGCAAATTTCGTTAATTTGTGATGCCAATTTTGTAGCTGCAAATGTAAAAAAATACAAAACAAAGATGAAAAACATTTACCTTGAATATTTTGTAGTGGCTTAGGCATGTTTTTAAAACAATTGGACTAGTTCATGCTTCAGGCAAAACAACAAAAATGCCGAGAACTTTGGCAATATTCGCAATATGTGTGACGTCACGTTTTTCAACAAGGATGAGTCAATGACTTCAGGAAGTTTCCTATCCAGTTATTTTACAATCCATGGTCATACACAGACAACAGCAAAGTACCAGTAATAACGGTATACTAGTATATGGCCCAAAAATCTGTGTAAAAATGCGCGATGAACATACGTACAGTACATGTGTATATTTCGTCTTGATCACTTATCGGTTGTGTACCTATCAAGAAAAAACTGAATATGTTTACTCTTAGTTTATAGCAGATAATTTGTTTAATAAAACACCTTATCCAGTATATATCACGTTATTCTTTATACTAGATTATCTGTTTGTAAGTGCTTGACATGTCATATGATACCTTGCCATATATATACATACTGTAATAGTAAAATTGGGTATACTGCGCCTGTAGAGAAGTATTGTTATTTTAAACTATAGTACTTTGTTGTGATTTACACAGGCTATTTCCTAGAAGTTTGCAAGAAAACTATGGGCCCAGGAGGTTTTGTGTGTGTTCTTCATCATATGATTAAAAGGCATAAATTGAATGATGCTGCATTTGGCGATAAAAAGTTTCAAAATCAAAATCTTGGGAAGATTGATGAAGCTGTTCGAGATATCTGTATGGCGTATGGATTAGCGGCTGTTCAGTTGTATAAGAAAAGTGAATTCTTTCCTACAGAAAGTGAACTTACTGATCACCTAAATCGATTTAATAATCATAACCAACTACTCCTCAAAACCGTACTATTTGTAGTACACAAATTTAAAATCTCTGTCTAAAACTTGTGATGCTTTTTCACCAAGAACAAGGAGTGGTGTCGTTTTAGTGTCTGAGACAGTTCATAGTTTCTCTGGTAAAATGCCACCAGTAATCAATAAATGAATAAATTTGTACATTGTTTTACTATTAAAGTCTTTAGAACCACTCCCATGATTCTGTGCATTTACAGAACCTTTATTTACAATTTCCTTCGATCTCGTTCCCTGATATGTCAGTGTCAAATATTTAACACTAACATTTGAATCAATTTTAATCATCGACTGCACACATGCCACAACAGACTTTGCATGTTCAGTCCCATTTAGTGGAGGATTTGGAGGTTGTTTGCAAACATCACATCTCTCATTACAACTAGAAGAAGATGCACCATCAAAGTATCTCACAAGTTGTGACTTCCTGCATGAAGGAACCATACAGTAATCTACCATGTGATTTAGACTTTTTAGGCGTTGTTGTTTTTCACCTCCATCGGGTAGGGCTGACATGTTCTTCAAATGTATAGTCCTGTCCTCAAACTTGAAAAAGACTATGCAGTGAGCTTCCGTTCCATCTCTCCCTGCTCGACCCGACTCTTGAACATAGTTTTCTATACTAGGAGGAATTCCATTGTGAATCACAAACTTGACTTTTTTTGTCGATGCCCATTCCAAAAGCGATTGTAGCACATATAGCATCTATTTTCGAAGCTTTCCAATCATCTGCAATTTGATGTCTCTTATAGACATCCAGACCAGCATGGTAATAGGTAGCATTGATCCCAGACCTCTGTAGTTGATATGCTACTTCAACTGTGTCTTTACATTGTTGGCAATATACTATTCCACAGCTGCCAATCAAATTCATTCTTGACCAAACCAACTAGAGAGGAGTGGTCTGATCCCTGCCTGTCAATAACTTGGAACACAAGGTTTGGTCGATCTGACGATTGTAATAGCGCATTTACATCCGGCAACTGGAGATGATTAATTATCGCATCCCTGGTTCGTTGTGTGGCAGTACCTAAAAATTTAAAATAACGGATACAACCATCAAAATGTATCTAAAAGTTATTTCATTTGTGCTGTCAAGATGTTTCGTCTTTCGGCAGCCAGTTAAAGTCTTATTGTGCTAAGTACTGTATATATACTGCCGGTTCCGTACGTAAAATTAACTGTTAAGTGCAGTAAAAATCTTAATGTGCTCTATTGTAATACATTATTTACTAAAAATTAAATAACAATATAAGTTTAAAATTTAAATTCTAAACACACAGTAATGGTGGCAACTCTTGTGCAGTCAAGATGTTTTGTCTTTCAGCAGCAGGTTGTCAAGATATTGTGTCTTTCGGCAGCTAGTTAAAACCTTATTGTGCTATACAGTACATACTACCATAACTAAAATTAACTGTTAATAAGTGCAATTTGTCCTTTGTAAGTCCCTTAATCAGTCAAGCTTATATATTGTTCAGCATGCACAAAGTATAATTTAGAGTCAACTGGTAAAGTCGCAGCAAGAATAAACTGCAAATCCGAGAAGGAATAGACTTATTATTCTTTTAAAAATTCTATGATTTAATAGCTAGTGCTAAATTGTAACTAGACAAGAATTATGCTTTCTAAAAATAAATGTTGAAAATTTCTTGGTGAAGACAGGCCGTACAAGCGTTTGTCTTCACCATTGAGGTGTTTTTTTATTTCTATTGAATTGAACATCACAATATTTGGGATGTTTTTAATAACTCAACTCAATCATCTTGTGTATCAATTGTATGGCTGTAAAGGGTCCTAAATACTGGCCGGAGCACCTGGGGACTCCCTGAAGCACCCGGGAGCATGTGAGAACACTCAGGGATATACAAAATAGTATAAATCAGTGCACAATCCTCTTTGAGTCTCTATGAGGCATTATATTAATGAAAAATAATATTAAAAGTGATTTTCAACCAGCCTAGCAAAAAGCGGTAAGGCGTGGTTGCCCATGCAGGAAGTTGTGTGAAACAGGAGATATTTATTATAGATGTAAATATTTGCTGTTATTAACTCAATTCGATCCGCCAATATTGATTTCAGACCTATATGATGGTAAGATTAAATATTAAAGAACTCTGCGAGTATTCGTAGTAGAAATATGAAAATACCACCAAAAAATTCCGGTTTATCGATACTATATATTCAGAAATATTGGTTTATCGCTCAATTTAGAGTGAATTTTCTTACATTGAATGAATTTTTTTTTTGTGTTGGTGTAGTGTACTCAGGTGAATATGATATTTGTAGTATTACTCTGAGTGTATATCCACACCGGGCGAGCTTGAAAAATATGCCCGGCCACGGTGGGATTCGAACCTACGACCTTTGGAATACTAGCCCAATATGCTCTATTGGAGCTAGTATTTCAAAGGTCGTAGGTTCGAATCCCACCGTGGCCGGGCATATTTTTCAAGCTCGCCCAGTGTGGATATACACTCAGAGTAATACTACAAATATCATATTCACCTGAGCCTGACCGCGTAGCTCAGTTGGAAGAGCATTGGGCTAGTATTCCAAAGGTCGTAGGTTCGAATCCCACCGTGGCCGGGCATATTTTTCAAGCTCGCCCGGTGTGGATATACACTCAGAGTAATACTACAAATATCATATTCACCTGAGTACACTACACCAACACAGAAAAAAAATTCATATTACTAGAATACATTGGTATCGAAGGAACTAGATTCTGTTCCGAAATATCACTTACTCGAACCGTCCTGACCGCGTAGCTCAGTTGGAAGAGCATATTGGGCTAGTATTTCAAAGGTCGTAGGTTCGAATCCCACGGTGGCCGGGCATATTTTTCAAGCTCGCCCGGTGTGGATATACACTCAGAGTAATACTACAAATATCATATTCACCTGAGTACACTACACCAACAGAGTTTATTAGTGTTTATATCTCAACCACTCTCCCCATTAGGAAAAGGTCTCAGCATAGAGGGAAGGGTAGGGGATGGGTAAAGAGGTAGAGGGAAGCCCACTAGGCCCCATAGTACACAAGGGATTTGGTGATCCTGACACTGGGAATATTCTCCCAGATTTTGCCCCTCACTGACATGTTGGGATCCATTTTCATCAAGCTTTCACCAGAAGTATGAACTGTGAGCTTGAATTCTTTTGGCTCTTTTTCACTAAGGAAATGCTTCAGGAGGTAGTTACCCATACCAATACATATGCCCACATACAAATAACCCAAAAATCATCCTTGTTTACTAATAAAGAGGAGTCTTGGATGTCCACCAACGTTGAGGGGATTGAGAGGTTGATTCCCTTTTTAGTATATGCAGGTTAAAAATTAAAAATTATTCTACTAAGTGGGGGATAAATCTGTAGGTTGCTACAGACAGTTCTAAATGGTTATACTTGCGACTTTGAGATTTATACAGGGATGAAGTCCATATAGATTCATCACAGCATGGATTGGGGTATGATGTGGTGATGTGATCTAAGTTATAGTCTTAAGTCTTTTGTGGTCCAATATATATTTTGTGCCAAAAAAGGAAATATTTTCATAATCCAATTTTCATAATCCAATTGCTTTGGCACACATTACTTTTTTGTAACTACCAGTGGCGATGCCAGCCCAACAACACTTGGTCATGCTATATGCAAATATTTTCATGTTCTAGATTGTGAAACAATTAATTTCTAAAGAAATGAGTAATTTTTATTTAAAACTTGCATAGCATAACCAAATTGTCAGGCCGGCTATGCCACTGATAACTAATTCAATGATATACTGATTATCCAAGCATATATATAGTAACCGTAGAAATAAAGACATTTTGCAAAGAGTGATTTGAGTGTTCTTTTGCAGATATCACAGACTTATTTTGGTGCCATACTATCCTTGGAGAGTAAGAAATATTGGAAATATGGTGATAAGTATTGCTAATATGCTGCAGCAATGAAAAAGAACCTTTGGAAAGGGTATTTGTTTCATGTCAGCACAAAATGGAAATTTTGTCTACTACACAGTTCATTCAAACTTGTGATGAAATTGAAATTGGTATCGTTGGAAAGTGGAAGTTCTCTTTCAAACGATGCAATTTCTATTTCCATACGATGTATAGTTTGAATGATGTATAGTTTGAAAGATATTTGCGTTTAAAACACCACTCAAAATTGTTACATTTCGACCGGAGGAGAATGGCATTAGAAATTTTTTTGTCATCAAGATTACCAGGATCTATACATAAAAGTCAAAAACAAAAAAGTTCATAAACTAAAAAGAGAAGATGAAAGACTAAAATATATCCTAAACTATACACTGGAGAGTGGATAAAAAGCATTGATAGAGTAGATGAAGAACATATTTTACTAATATAAAGGCTGAAAAACTGCATTTTTGTTTATGCGGAATGTTTTTATGAGTTTAATGACGCTAACCAAGTAATTTTTTTATGTGGCCTAATCTTAATGACAAACATTTTTCGAACGCCGCCAAACGACAATTGACTTGTTCTCAGCAGTTGGTATATTAAAACAAAACTAGTCTTAACTTTTTATTATAACTTTAGTTTAATTTAATAACAGCAAATATTTACATTGCATTACATCTATAATAAATATAATCTCATGTTTCGCACAACTTCCTGTGTGGGCGACCACGCTTTACCGCTTGTTGCTAGGCTGGTTGAAAATCACTTTTAATATTATTTGTCATCAATATAATGCCTCAGAGACTCAAAAAGGAACATGCACTGATGCATACTATCTTGGATATCCCGGGCGTTCTCACACGCTCATGGGCACTTAGTAGGACCAGCCTATCAAATAATTTTCATCCAGACTTTGATAAAAACAAAGAATTGTATATTTTGTGCTTTGTTCTATTGATATATAAGATATATTTGATACAATACATTCTGGTGGCTGATTCCAGTATGTTACATTTGTGGTCAATTTAATAATTTGCAATGCTAAGTTAAGTAGGAACTGTTTTTTGTAGGGGCGATTTATAAATTTATAAATTGCGTGAGGGTAAAA